AAACCGTTTACTCCAAACAGAAAATGCAGACAAGAGTTTCTATTGGACAAATTCAGGTAGGTCCCTCCCCATTTCATGCTATTTTATCTTGTTTGCTTCCGTTTGGTTCTTAAACGGTTTCCTTAATGAATACACCCCTTCCCGGAGCAAAGAGGCTACTAGCAGGAGGAATGTAAAGCTAACTAGCAAGCCTGTAGCTAGATGTTAACGGTACTGTGTTGCTGAAAGTCTGTAGCTAGCGAGCTAGATAACTTGGCTAGTTAATTGTCTGTGACCTAACGTTAGCTGTAAACATCAGAGTTAACTTCCTATTTTAAAAAGGCCTTGATGAGTAGAATAACTAGGTAGCTAATTACCGTTAGTATTTGAAACCATCCAGTCGTATGATTAAATGTCTATCATTTACAAAGCGTTATTTGTTTCTGCCGGTCATACCTTACCTGATATTATGTTTGTTTTTTATATAAACAAAAATCAGTGCATTTCTATTTTTAAATCAACAAATACTGTATTATTTTTCTTTTGGTATTTTACCTCCTTTTCCTCCCCAATTTCGATCTTGTCTCATCACTGAAACTCCCCAACGGGCTTGGGAGGTGAAGGTCAAATCATACGTCCTCCGAATCATGACCCACCAGACAGCGCTTCTTAACACTTGCCCGCTTAACCCGGAAGCACCAATGTGTCGGAGGAAACACAGTTCAACTGACGACCGAGGTCAGCTTGCAGGCACCCAGCCCACCACAAGGAGTCGCTAGAGCGCGATGGGATAAGGAAATCCCGGTTGGGCCAATTGTGCGCCGCTTCATGGGTCTCCTGGTCACGGCCGGCTGTGACACAAACCAGGGTCTGTAGTGACGCCTCAAGCACTGCGATGCAGTGCCTTAGACCGCTGCGCCACTCGGGAGATCCGTTTCTCCCATTCTTATCTGCAGATCTTCTCAAGCTCTGTCAGGATGGATAGGGAGCATCGCTGCACAGCTATTTTCAGGTCTCTCCAGAGATGTTTGATCGGGTTCAAGTCTGGGCTCTGGCTGGGTCACTCAAGAACATTCAGAGACTTGTCCCGAAGCCACTCCTGCATTGTGTTGGCTGTGTGCTTAGGGTCGTTGTTCTGTTGGAAGGTGAACCTTTGCCCTAGTCAGGTCCTGAGTAATCTGGAGCAGGTTTTCATCAAGGATCTCTCTGTACTTTGATCATTTCATATTTCCCTCGACCCAGACTAGTCTCCCAGTCCCTGCCGCTGAAAAACATCCCCACAGCATGATGCTGCCACCACCATGCTTCACCGTAGGGATGGTGCCAGGTTTCCTCCAGACGTGACGCCTGGCATTCAGGCCAAAGAGTTAAATCTTGGTTTCATCAGATCAGAGAATCTTGTTTCTCATGGTCTGAGAGTCCTTTATGTGCTGTTGGCAAACTCCAAGCGGGCTGTCATGTGCCTTTTACCATAAAGGCCTGATTGGTGGAGTGCTGCAGAGATGGTTGTCCTTCTGGAAGGTTCTCCCATCTCCACAGAGGAACTCTGGAGCTCTGTCAGAGTGACCATCGGGTTCTTGGTCACGTCCCTGACCCAAGGCCCTTCTCCCCCAATTGCTCAGTTTGGCCGGGTGGCCAGCTCTAGGAGGAGTCTTGGGGGATCCAAACGTCTTCCATTTAAGAATGATGGAGGCCGCTGTGTTCTTAGGGACCTTCAATGCTGCAGAATTTTTTTGCTACCCTTCCCCAGATCTGTGCCTCGACACAATCCTGTCTCGGAGCTCTACGGACAACTTAAACCTTAAACCTCCACTACTCTTAAACCTTTGGGTGCCGTCTACCACAGAACCCTTCCCTTTACCACAGGTGACAGTTTTAATTCTCATCACTGCATCCTGTATCAAAAGCTTGGCTGGTCCTGATTAAAGTCCCGTAGATCACTTCACTATTCCTTTTTTTTTTTACAAAGCTCTACTAGACAAGCTTCCAACTTACCTAACTTTGTTGTTGAAGTCTAAAAACACGAGTTACCAAACCCGTTCACAGGGTTGGTTAACTCTTGAGGTTCCTCGAGAATTAGGTAAATCCACTTTTAGTTTTAGTGCGCCTCACTGCTGGAACAATTTGCAGAACTCATTAAAATTAGATATTCTGGTGCCACTCTGGCAGTTTAGGGCATTAATTGAGGACCTAGTTGCTGATGACTGTAACTGTGTTTCATACATTTTGTGTTGTGCATTGATTGCTGTTTTGTTTTACATTTTATTGGTTGTTGTACTGTTGTGATCATGGCACCCTTAGGAAAGAGACCATGGTCTCAATGGGGTTTTCCCTGAATAAATAAAGAACAATAAATAAAAAAAATGACAGACACAGTGATCAGCTTGTTGCGGGTGAACTGGGAGCACAGTGCTGTAGCGGTGGGACAGAGGAGACGGGAACCGAGAGGGCTTCGTCCTGAGCCCTATACTACAAATCAGGTTTGAGGAGTTAGCGAGGTAACTTTGGTCAACTCTGAGTTCAACTCGGAATACCTGGTACCATGAAAGTGGCTCACCTTTTAGCCAGGTACATTTCTATGGCAACGAATCCCTCAGAACTAACTGCTCCGGGGCAGGCTAACTCAGGGCTAACTCCATTTATCCTAAATGAAGTGACTGAGCCACGAGTTGAGGACCAATTAAATCAGATTCCCTCCCTCTCGCAAAGATTGTGTCATCATACCCTTCATTTGAGTAAGACGACTGATTCAATATTTTTATCAAATGTTTTTTTTAAATCACATTACACATTTAGTAAGGACAGCGTTTGCTTTCCAAACTGTACCTTTTTCGCATTATTGTATTTAGAAATTTGCGAAAGGCAAACTGACAGCCGCAACCAACCATAGACATATAATCCATAGATGGAAGTCCCCATTAGTATACCCATGAGTTTAACAGTCAAATTGTCAGGGTTATAGAACATTTCTATGGGTTATACTGTATGTCTATGGCCACAACGCAACAGGCTGTTCCACAGATAGAAGGAGAAATAGGAGTTGGAAAAAGGGGCTTGTGGATTAATAACCACACCAAAGACGCCATTAACGTTAAGATAAATACGGCACTTCTAAAAGCCTATTTCACACCATAGCCTGCTGAATTTGCAAGATAACATTTCTTTGATTTTGATTTCGGCAGAAATGAAAATGTGGCACTGACTCGCCCATGGATTGATATTTCAGCATTGTCTCAATGAAAAGTTTGGCGTTCGACTAGCCATGTGTAACATGCACGCACAGTTACAAGCCTGTTAGAGTTAGTGGCAGGCAGGTGAGCAATATCCACCGTCGGCCTGCCTCAGATGAATGAGACCGAGGGCCACACCCCAACACCACCACCTCGTCTCACTGAAGAACAATGAAGGCAAGACTGAGGAGTACAAGTACAGTACCAAGGTCTAAGAGAGAGAGGTGACATGAATGAGTAGTGCCGAGGGCAGGTGGGTTACGAGAGGAATCACAGACATACACTAATACATGATCACATACAAACTTGTAACAGAGTTAAAAACATGCCGCAAGCTCACTCCACAGCTAGATTGAAATGTTGCGGATGGAGCCATCTATGTGGTACCTTTTTAGGTGGCTCAAACCGTTGGTACGTTGTTAAGGAGGATGGTCACGTGTGTTTGCGAGCAGAGGATCACTGGTTTGAGCCCAGTGTGGGACAGGGATTGTGGAAGAAGATACTTTTTTGCATTAGCACTACACACCTGATTCAAATCATCAACACTCGATGATAAGTTGATCATTTGAATCGGCTGAGTAATGCTAGGGCAAAACTTAAATGCACCCGTTTGGATCCCCAAGACCAGGATTAAGAAATTCTGTTCTATCTAGACTAAACACACTAATCACATTCCCCACCTCATCTCTCCATGGCTTCCGTATGCAGACATGACCCAACTCTGTGAACACATTGACTATACTTCAATGAATGTTTTATGTTTACCTGTTTGCTTTCTTTGCAGACCACAAGCATGCCGGTTATTAAAAACGTGTGACACTATTGATGTTTTCAGGTGATCATGGTTGCTGTTTATCATAGAGATGGGCAACTCTAGACCTCAGAATGCAATTAGTTTAATCAGGTGTAGCTGGGGTTGGGGAAAAAGTGTGACACCAATCAGGCCTCTGAGGGCTGAAGTAACACGATGAGAATGACCAGATCGAGATGGAATCAACACTCAATGCAAGATCTAGCATGATCTGATACAGGGCTCTTCTGGAGAGTTACCGTCTTGTAGGTTTTCTCCAACCCTAATCTATACTGAACAAAAATATAAACGCAACATGCAGCAATTTCAAAGATTTGACTGAGTTACAGTTCATATAAGGAAATCAGTCAATTAGGCCCTAATCTATGGATTTCACATGACTGGGAATGCAGATATGCATCTGTTGGTCACAGATACCTTAACAAAAGAGGTAGGGGCGTGGATCAGAAAACCAGGCAGTGTCTGGTGTGACCACCATTTGCCTCATGCAGTGTGACACATCTCCTTCTCATAGAGTTGATCAGGCTGTGGCCTCTGGAACGCTGTCCCACTTTATCTTCAACAGCTGTGCGAAGTTGCTGGATATTGGTGGGAACACACTGTCTGCAAAATATCTGATGTGATTAGGCCAATTAGCGGAAAAAAATATCTGAATGTAAACATAGCACTTGCGTGAGCTTTCAAACGTTGCATCTTCAATTGCTTGTTATAGCGCCACCATGTGGCCAATCGACACGGCATCGCTTGAGAGGGTGTAGCCCTGGGCCCTTTACCGTCTTGCAAAGTCTTAACCTTGTAGGTCTTACCATCTCACAGGAATTTGCATTTGAATGTGCCCTTACGGAAGAAGAAGAATTAACGCCAACAAATACAATCAGATTTCTCGCAGCTTTGCTGTTGGGAAAGAGGATAGATAAGAAAGAAGATATAGATAAAGGAATAGATTACCTGTAGGGTGTAGGGACACAGTGCAGACACCAGGAGGTGCTGTTCTCCCCCAGTAGGCTGTCCCTATTGGTTGTCTCATATGCCACTCCCACCCGGTATGCAGGACTTCTGGTAACATTGGTCTCCCAGTAGTGATGCCCCCTCATGGGTAACAACTCACCCAGGACAGATGGACATCTAGGGGTAAAACACAACACACCGTACCATATTACCATCTCATTTATCCAGAGACCTGGGAAGATATCAGCCAAGTTAAAGCATAAAAAATGTGCATCGAACATTATATTACTGAGCAGCACACACATCACACGCACATACACACACAGAAGATACCTGAGCAAGACAAAACTCACTCGTTAGCCACATCCTCTCTCTCTGTGTATGTGTCCTGGGGGTAGTACAGGGTGGTCTGGTCCTCGGACAGTTTCAGGACAGGGTGAGCCGAAGCCTTCAACAGGTGGAACCTAGTTCCTGGATACAGAGTACAGAGGTCAATGTGTGTGTGTGTGTGTGTGTGTGTGTGTGTGTGTGTGTGTGTGTGTGTGTGTGTGTGTGTGTGTGTGTGTGTGTGTGTGTGTGTGTGTGTGTGTATGTGTATGTGTATGTGTATGTGTTTGTGTATGTGTGCGTGTCTCACTCTCACCCCTGGTAGATATGAGAGCAGCCTCCCTTTGTTCGCTGGCTCCAGCCTTGTTGACAGCTTTGATGTAGAACAGGTAGTTCTCATTGGGATGCAGTAGTACCCTCTGTTGTCTGCCCTGGATACCTGAGATAGACCTACACACATCCATGCACCCACCACACACACAAGAGGGATAATGATTGAGGTCCTCTGTAGCTCAATTGGTAGAGCATGGCGCTTGTAACGCCAGGGTAGTGGGTTCGATCCCCAGGACCACCCATACGTAAAAATTTATGCACACATGACTGTAAGTCGCTTTGGATAAAAGCGTCTGCTAAATGGCATATTATTATTATTATATGATTGCTTGACATGATCTTTGAATGACGACATGATAGCAGTTTGTAAATGGAAACCGTCATTAAAGAAGAGCTGTCACGAAAAAAGAACTTTTCCGGTTGAAAATGGCCTATGTGGCATCTATTTCACTCACCCTAACAGAGCTGGTTAGACTGTTTTCATGTTATCAAGAAAGATAGTAACTGTTACTGTTAATGGCAAGAATTTACACAAACATTTTTTTTCTGAAAACTGTCGTAACAACCGGGTGTAGGTCGTCTGTAAAATGTATTAATTATTCCACACTGCCAAAGTTAATTTACTCTTGGCAACTTGGAAACACCCACATCAAACCACGCCTCCAAGACACAAATCTCGTTTTCAGTGGCATTTTTGTGTGTATGCTTGAGGTGATGGAGGATATAGGTGTAGTTCGTTGTGTGTGTGTGTGTGTGTGTGTGTGTGTGGGGTGTGCATGCCATGCGATTGTGCCTGTGTGAGACCCACCTAAGCCCTTCTCCCTCAAGGGCGTACTGTCTGCAGTACTCCAGGGTGTAACTCTGTGTGGGTGTTTGGTTGTCCGCACTCCAACGCAACGTGGCCGAGTCCCACAGTATCGTACACCGCCCCGTATCAATCACTGGCACCGATGGGGCTGTCAACCAATTAATCAATGAATCAATAAATCACTTCAAGAGAACCATGCATTGGTCCATATGACCACAGAATTACCTCAGACAACGCTTCTGCTTTACCGACTAGACTCACCAGTTCTGAAGGGTAGTCTCTCACTGGGCAGGGAGCAGCCAGTGTAGTTGACAGCCATCACCCACACTTTATACACCTTGTCAGGCTCCAGCTCCTCTAGAACACAGTAACTCTCCTTCACTGTCACGCGGTACTCCTCCGACACCGCTGGGCAGAGAACACACACAGAGCTGTTAGGCTACGTTTTGACAGTTCAATTCTGATGGTTTTTTTTCTATTAATTGGTCTTTTGACCAATCACATCAGATATTTTCACATCAGATCTTTTTTCAGATCGGATTGGTAAAAAAAGACACATTTGTGAAAAAAAATATCAGAATTGGGCTGCCTGCCTAAATGCAGCCTGTGTGTGTGTGTAGGCTACCTCCTTGTGGGTCCTCCATACAGTAGACCTGGAAGCAGTCTATGATGTCTCCAGGGTTGACCCTCCAGTAAACAGTCACACTAGTGCTGCTGGCTGAAGCACACTCCTGAGGCTGCAGAGATGGCTTCTGAGGAACTGAGACACACAGAGAGACACAGAGAGGGAGAGAGAGGGGTGCAGAGAGATAGACAGAGTTAGGGAGAAAGAGTGAGATAGAGTGTTTGTGTGTGAATGCGAGAGAGACCCACCTGGGATTCCCTTGCGTCGTGTGTGTGTATTGGCTGCATTGCCCTTGGCGTAGTCTTCAAACACTAGTAGTCCCCGAGGACCCAGCTCCAGAGACATGGTTGACTGAAGTGCTTCTGTTAACCTGGGAGAGGCAAACAACAATTATGTGTTGTTGTTCTTAAAAGTTTTTAAAAACAATTATAATAAATGCAACAGTTAGACAATGGATGAAGATACTCAAAACTTTTTGCATTTTTATATTCCATCAGATATTGACTGAATTATAGCACATACAACAGCTAATCATGGCTACCCGGACTATTTGCACTGCCCCCCCACCCCCACCCCATCTTTTTACGCTGCTGCTACTCTGTTAATTATTGATGCATGGTCACTTTAACTCTATCTACATGTACATATTGCCACAATTACCTCAACTGGCTGGTGCTACCGCACATTGACTCTGCACCGGTACCCCCCTGTATATAAGTATTTGGTCAATAACAAAAGTTTCTCAATACGTTGTTATATACCCTTTGTTGGCAATGACACAGGTCACACGTTTTCTGTAAGTCTTCACAAGGTTTTCACACACTGTTGCTGGTATTTTGGCCCATTCCTCCATGCAGATCTCCTCTAGAGCAGTGATGTTTTGGGGCTGTCGCTGGGCAACACGGACTTTCAACTCCCTCCAAAGATTTTCTATGGGGTTGAGATCTGGAGACTGGCTAGGCCACTCCAGGACCTTGAAATGCTTCTTACGAAGCCACTCCTTCGTTGCCCGGGCGGTGTGTTTGGGATCATTGTCATGCTGAAAGACCCAGCCACGTTTCATCTTCAATGCCCTTGCTGATGGAAGGAGGTTTTCACTCAAAATCTCACGATACATGGCCCCATTCATTCTTTCCTTTACACGGATCAGTCGTCCTGGTCCCTTTGCAGAAAAACAGCCCCAAAGCATGATGTTTCCACCCCCATGCTTCACAGTAGGTATGGTGTTCTTTGGATGCAACTCAGCATTCTTTGTCCTCCAAACACGACGAGTTGAGTTTTTACCAAAAAGTTCTATTTTGGTTTCATCTGACCATATGACATTCTCCCAATCCTCTTCTGGATTATCCAAATGCACTCTAGCAAACTTCAGACGGGCCTGGACATGTACTGGCTTAAGCAGGGGGACACGTCTGGCACTGCAGGATTTGAATCCCTGGCGGCGTAGTGTGTTACTGATGGTAGGCTTTGTTACTTTGGTCCCAGCTCTCTGCAGGTCATTCACTAGGTCCCCCCGTGTGGTTCTGGGATTTTTGCTCACCGTTCTTGTGATCATTTTGACCCCACGGGGTGAGATCTTGCGTGGAGCCCCAGATCGAGGGAGATTATCAGTGGTCTTGTATGTCTTCCATTTCCTAATAATTGCTCCCACAGTTGATTTCTTCAAACCAAGCTGCTTACCTATTGCAGATTCAGTCTTCTCAGCCTGGTGCAATAGCCTCCCTACTGTTATTTTATTTTACTTCTGCTCTTTTTTTCTCAACACTTTTTTGTTGTTGTTGTTTCATTTTACTTTTTTATTTAAAAAGAAATGCATTGTTGGTTAAGGTGATTGACAGGTCATTACAAACATTTCCGCGGTCGTAACATTAACAGGAAAATAAGACAGGCACAAGCAAGAGTTTGAAAGAGTCACAGGAGTAAAATGAAAGCAATCAATCCAGCGAGATTTAAGTGACAAATGGATTTTGCACCCCTCAAACACAGCAAATAGATGGCTGCCAAAGACCTCAGGTGGGCAGGGCATGCACATTGCTAGTGTGTGTGTGTGTGTGTGTATGTGTGAGAGACCCATTGCCAGAGACATACAGGTAACTGCCAAAATAAAGTAAACACCAACATAAAGTATCCTAATAGGGCGTTGAGCCACCAGAACAGCTTCAATATATACATGACCCTAAGCATGATGGGATGTTAATTACTTAATTAACTCCGGAACCACACCTGTGTGGAAGCACCTGCTTTCAATATAATTTGTATCCCTCATTTACTCCAGTGTTTCCTTTATTTTGGCAGTTACCTGTACCTGCCTGCAGCGCTTGATGTTAGCTTAGCAACAAAACCTCACAGTCACATGCCATCAACAGAACCAGCTGGTTGGAATGTTAAATCATTCAACATGGTCACTAGGGTTGAGGTCAATTCCATTTAAAATCCAGTTAATTCAGAAAGTAAACCAAATTCCAATTCCACATTTTGCTCATTGAAAAGCATTGACGATTATTGGAATTTCAGTGTACTTCCTGAATTGACTGGAATTGAAATGGAATTGATCCCAACCCTTGTGGTCACTACACTTTAAATGTGACCAACCCCATCAGTCAACACAACGACGACACACACCTAAACAATTTTTCCCTATGCTCAGTATAATCATGCTGGTATAGCTTTCATCTAATATGGTAAGTACAGCTGACACAGTGCAGTTACCTCATATAGATGTCTTTGGATGTCTGTGGATAGGAGAGGAGGATTCATTAGGTACATTACCTACAATAATAACTATGCAAGGTTTCCATCCAACTGCTTCCAACAATTCAACCTAGAGTTCTCATCGGGCCTGAAACTTCGAGCCCGGTCCGACCCAAGAACGATGAGCTGAAGCCCGAGATCCGGTCCTACATCACAAAAATGTAATGAGCCCGAACTCGAAAAAAAATCCTGATTTCTAGAAAACAGCCGCACCTTTCCCTAGACCATGTTGCTATTTTGCGAAAGTTAACCAGTAGGCTATCAATTTACACTGGTGTTGACAACAACGCGACAGAGACGGCAGCGAGCGGAGTGAGGAGAGGAGAGGGAAAAGCCCTTGCCTTGTCTAAGTAAAGTGAGGAGAGGGAGAAAACCCAACTTGAGTATAATCAACAACTGTTATATGTGGACTCGAGGTGTGTAAAACATCCACATATACAGTATCTTCAGAAATTAGACAGATGCTGCTTCTGTTGCCTGTTTTTAAGTGTTTGTTTGATTCCGTGAGGATACTATGGTCTTAGTATTAAGGCAACAGAACACAACACAACAGAAGAACGCATCAATAAAAATGTGTTATGTAGTCTTGAATAATTAAATAATAAATACATGTTCTGGATATTATTAGCTATAGACCTATGGCCTAAATATTAAGACAACAGAACACAACAGAAGAACATGTATTTTAGGAGAGGTCCAGCAAGGAGGCCCATGCCCCGTGCCCCGAGGATAGCTGGTGGTCATCTCTTGCTGCTGGCAAGCTGAAATCAAATAGAAATTGAATAACTGATAGTATTATTTTTATATAAAACTACATTAACCAACTTATTGAAAACGTTACAATTGTCAGAAGAATTAGGCTACTAATATAGGACATGTAGGCCTATACATTTAATTGAACATCAATTTAATTGTTTACTTACATAAAGCAGGATTTTCTGCATATTATCTGCTACAAATAGCATCGCGTCCACAGCGGAGTGTTACAGTATTGTTCTCCTCGGGTCGATGGTCCAGCCTGCCACGCTAAATACCCTTTCGCTGCTGCTGGCTGGGACACAAAGCACCCGTCTCGCTAACTTGGCTAGCAGTGGATGGATATGTTGTGCTGTTGGACTTCCACCAGCCCAACATGTCTCTGTCATCCGTCATGACAGGCCTCTTTACGGTGTATCTTGTCACCTCGTCATCCTCTTCTTCATTCCCTGCTGTGAGGGGGGGGTGGGGGTGGGGGGGGTGGCACTGAAACGTCGTCTGTGGCCTGTGGAAGTGTGCTCATATGATCACATCTTGCCTGTCTTGGGGGGGAAGCATCCTCAGCTGGTTAAACTTGGGACAGAGAAACATTGCCATCTTGTTCCACCTTCCTCTCCAACCATTCACTGTGTATTGGGCTGGCAGTGACGCTTGAGTCTCTCTGACCATAGCCGGGTTAGCTGAAAACATCACGAAAACGATGCACGCGCTTCAAATGGGGCAGAAGGCCATGTCTTGTTATGGTTCTGGAAGGCCAGATAGCTAGCAACAGTTACAAGGAATGCTATGTGGTGAATCGTAAGTGGCTTGTTTCAGCTCATTTGATCTTGTTCTTGTTTTGAGGTGTTTTGTTAATATGGCTAAAATCTAACCAACAACTGTAATGATGTATTTGAGAAACAACTGCTCATTGTGCAACTTTATTTATGTTTTCAATAACCATTGGAAGCAAAATATAGTTTACATGTTATCAACAATTTAAGCCAACCCTGTCTGTCAACCCTGTCTAGTTGCTCATGCGTCGGTTTTGTTGCTTACAACCCGTCTATAGACACACAAGATTCAGTGTGGGGTATTTGTCCCCCTCCAGTTCCTTCTGTGCATCGTAAAACGGCTTGAGGACTCCAGAAGAAACTGCTGGTCATCAGCTGCGATTTTCTCCACTCTCACTTTCTCCACAGGCCTCCAGCTTTTCGTGCACTTCGTTGTACACGTCCTGGACAGAGTGCAGGGTCTTGTAGACTGTGCTAAATCTTGTGTCCCCCATCTGAAGCAGGGTCTTCGAGAGTTGGGTAGCCAGTCCAGACTACATGACATACCTGGTAGAGGCACAATAAACACAAACTTTCAAAACTGGTGCAAGGCTAAATAAGATTGCCCACATGGAAATGCCCACATAGTAAGGCTCTATGATATTAATTATATTCCTAAATGCATTGTTGGTATGACATGGTTGAGCACAATAATTAGGATAACATGTCGTATTTATTTAAAAAAAAAATACTTATCATATCATATAGCCTACCTGAACAGGGACTTTGCTGCGGTGAGGGTTTCAATGATATCCTCAATGTCCAGTGCTGCTCCGTCAAGGCCATGACGTAGCACCGTGTTTACAAGGTGGTCATGACAGTCCAGCTGGAGCCTGGTCCGGGCTGAGAACAATGTTGGGGTCCTGGCCAGTCACCCAAACAATTCTACTGAGTGACGTAACGTTGAGGCCAAACTTTGTCATGAGCAGCTTCACCATCTCCCACCTTATATTCTCCATCGTTTTTGAGTCTTCAGCTGGGAACCGCAGTGGTCAGGTTTCTTCCGATTTCACTGGAACTCTTCAGTTATGAAATGACATGTGATTGTCAGATAACTAAGCTTCCGATAGTCATCAGTTCACATGTCTGTCATCATCCCCACTGTGCCCTCTTTCAGGATATCCTGTAAGTTCTTCTCTTTTGTCGTCTGTCATAATCTGGCACCTGGCAGAGACGGTATTGTGGCTGGGTAGAACAGCCTCTCCCATAAGTGGCTCGCACATATATAAGCTCCTGGCATCTTTGAAAGAAAAACTGAAAAATTTGTCAGTCACTGCCTGTTTTGTTTTCTTTGAGAGTTACCGTTTTGTTTGACGAAAGCTGACATAAAAGCTTGGCCTGAGGATTCTGTCGCGCCACGGCATTGTGCAAAATGGCGCTGCAGGGAAGAAGTACCTGTCGTCTTGCTGTCATAACGTAGAACGGCCTCGCATCCTCTGCGCTTGACATGGCCAGTTGATTCTCCCGCTGTTTCAACAACCAAGTCAAATGACTTCCAACCATCTGATTGGCATCAATTTCTTTGTAACATGTGTTATAACGGTATAGCAGAGTTGTTGTAATGTATTGATGTGATATATGATTGGCTATCATACATTCAGACCCTACCCTATTGGTCAGTCACAGGTGTATGAATCTGTCACGTGAAAAGAGCATGGCAGGCAGGGAAGGAATGTTTTTGCAGTCTCAACAAATGAGGGATCTTGGTAACATGACTTTTCAGTCAGAGAAACAACACATAAGAAACAAGTTAATTACTGTAATTTGATAGTAGCTTTAGCACCCCGGACAGCGCAATACACACTGGAGCCTGGTCCGGGCTGACAAATCTAATCCAACCATCTGAGAACTGATTATCTTAACGAAGGATGCATTTGTCAGTAGTTTCAAGTTTCTATGTCACATACACAAGCACAGTGAAATGCCTTTCTTGCAAGCTCTAACCCCAACAATACAGTAATCAATAACAATGTAATACTAAAAATAACAAGGTAGAACAAAAACACATGAGACATAGAGATAAGAAATAAAAAGGACATGATAAAGTAAGTAAGCATAATATATACAGCGTCACTTCCAGTACCATATTTACAATGTGCAGGGATACAGGATCAATAGAGGTACAGTAGATATAGTATGTATAAGGCTAAGGTGACTAGGCATCAGGATATATGATAAACAGAGTAGCAGCAGCGTATATGATGATTGTATGTGAGTGGGTGTGTGTAGTCAGTATAAATGTATGTGCATGTAATGTGTGTGTGAGCAAATGATGGAGCGGTGTTTGTATGTTTGTTGGAGTATCAGTGTGTGTAGTGTGTAGGGCCCTGTGAGTGTGCACAGAGACAGTGCAAAAATTAAAAATAATATACAAAGGTTAAACTCAGATAGTCTGTGTAGCCATTTTGTTAGCGGTCTATTTAGCAGTAAGCTATTTAGTTAGCTATTTAGCAGTACACTGTATTTTTGTGTGAGTGTGTGTGTGTGTGTGTCACCTGTGTGTCTGGGTCTATCTCTGCCTCTCTAGCGGTGGTGTCCAGTGTGACCTTGGCCTGGTCTATACTCTCCTGGAAGGAAACGATTTGGTCGTAAAGCTGCTCCAGCTTTGCCTTCTTCTCCTCCTCCATGCTCAGAGACATGGTGTTGTACTGCTCCATCACCAGAGCCATCATCTCCTCATTCTGAGCCTCCATCACCTCCTCACTGTCTCTGCAACGGTCCTGGGAACATAGAGATGAGGAGGTACAGGGGACAGAGAGAGTTACAGGGGAAAGAGAGAGGGACAGGAGACAGAGTGATAGAGAGAGACAGAGGGACAAAAGACAGAGAGGGACAGGGAGGACAAGTCAAACTAAAGAAGGGCCATAGATATACGGAGTCTAAACTGGTCCATGTGAAGAGGAACTGAAAGAGAAGGGTTAGGCCAGAAAAACACCTTGCATTAGAACATGCATTATTCTACGCATTCAATAACACACCAGTAGACAGTTACTTCAGTTTGAGAAGATAGCAAATTCTCTCTTTCCTCCTACCTCTACAGTGTTGTATCCCAGCTCTAGTTCTGACACCAGAACCTCAACGTTCTCTGATCTCTCCTGCAGCTCTGAGATCCACTCACTCAGCCTCTCCTGGAATACGAACAGAGCACAGAAACACAATGAATGAAAACTTGATATAGGAAAATACAATACAGGCTACTGTAAGGATGAACTGTTTTAGATGCAGTGAACACAATAAAAGTGTTGGTTTTGCTCTTCCGTAAAAAAAACAAAAAAACATCTCAGTCAACCACTTTGTCACTCAACTCTCCATATGTAAGGACTATGTAAGTGTACTTGGGACTCAAAACAGTAGCTGCTGGTTCAAGCCCCTGCTGAAAGATTGCTCTCCTTTAGTCTCTACATTAGGTTGGCGTAGCTTGGGCAGCTGGCTCATCGGTCTACACTGGACCAGCATGAACATAAATCACTGATGATCCATGCCTTCAGGAAGAAATCCCAAATGCTCATTGGATGAACACTCTCACATGCTTATTTGATGACCCAATCTTGTTGGATGACAAACAGAATGACCTTTGCTTGTTGTATGATGAGTACAAATCCTGTGTGATTATTGGACGGCACTGGACAGAGACTGATTGTCACGCCCTGGCTCTGGGGACTCTTTAATGTTGAGCCAGGATGTTAGTTTCTATGTTTTGTGTTTCTATGTTGGCCGGGGTGGTTCTCAATCAAAGGTAACGTGAATCAGCTGTTGCTTGTTGTCTCTGATTGGGTACCATACTTAGGTAGTCGTTTGGCATTTGTGTGGTGTGGTATCTTGTTCCGTGTATGATTTGTGTATGTACCCAAGGACTTCACGTATCGTTTTGTTGTTTTTGTTCGTGTGGTGAATCTAAATAAAAGTATGTTCGCTTATCACGCTGCGCATTGGTCCACTCCTTTTGACGATCATGACAGAAGATCCCACCTCGACTGGGTCAAGCAGCGTGAAGAGGAGAGAGGTTGGACTTGGGAGCAGAGGATAGAGAGTCTGGCGAGAGCCATGGAGGCCATATCTACGGGGGAGAGACAAGCCCAATACATTTTTAGGGGGGGGCTCACACCGTGGACGACGGGGCTGCTGGAGGCAGATAAGGGGCGAGTTTGTGGACAAGGAGAAGGCCACCGGGTTACGGGAGCCATTGGTGATTAGAGGGAAGGAAAGTGTAGAGGCACGGCGAGAGGTACTGAAGTGTGTTGCCAGTCCGGTCCGGCCCGTTCCTGATCCCCGTATAAGGCCAGTGGTGTGTGTTCCCAGTGCGGTCCGGCCTGTTCCTGTCCCTCGCACCAAGCCTGTGATGCACGTCGCCAGCCCGGCCCGTTCCTGCCCCTCGCACCAAGCCAAGGGTGCGCGTCGCCAGCCCGGCCCGGCCTGTTCCTGCCCCTCGCACCAAGCCTATGGTGCGCGTCGCCAGCCCGGCCCTGCCTGTTCCTGCCCCTCGCACCAAGCCAATGGTGCGCGTCGCCAGTCCGGTCCGGCCTGTTCCTGCTCCCCGCACCAAGTCAACGGTGCGCGTCGCCAGCCCGGCCCGGCCTGTTCCTGCTCCACGCACCAAGCCTATTGTGCGCGTCGCCAGCCCGGCCCGGCCTGTTCCTGCTCCCCGCACCAAGCCTATGGTGCGCGTCGCCAGCCCGGCCTGTTCCTGCTCCGCGCACCAAGCCTATGGTGCGCGTCGCCAGCCCGGCCCGGCCTGTTCCTGCTCCCCGCACCAAGCCTATTGTGCGCGTCGCCAGCCCGGCCCGGCCTGTTCCTGCTCCCCGCACCAAGCCTATGGTGCGCGTCGCCAGCCCGGCCCGGCCTGTTCCTGCTCCCCGCACCAAGCCTATAGTGCGCGTCGCCAGCCCGGCCCGGCTATATTTCATGAGGAGACTCTCTTTCGTATATATTTCTCAATCACACTTTTCATCTTTCACTTAAATATACTTTCCTGCAACCCTCCTCACCCAATGTGGAACGGATTCTATTATTTATTTTACCTTTTTATCCAGAACCTCCGTTTGAAACTAGCCAGCTAGCCAGCTAACTAGCTAACTAGCTCCTTGCTATTAGCCACCATTAGCGGTTTTCACCATTGTCTGTGGCCTGCACTACCTACCACAGAGCTGCCAACTCTCACGCTTTCGCCTTGTGACACATGTTTTTGCCTGTTTTCATACGCACTCACGCCACACATCCAATTACTCACGCAAAAAAAATTGGCCGAGACTCGTTCGTTCCTTATTTCAAACTCCCCGACGGTAGATGGCGCTGATGAGCGCCACTGAACCATATGCGCTGCACCCCGAAGTTAGCGACAGAAGAAGAGATACTATTGCCGCTAAAGACAACAGGAGAAGAAACGGTCACTACCTCAAGAAGTCTGATAAGAAGCTGAGCTGAGACTAGGTATGTAACAATGAAATGTCGTCCAATTGAGTACTCACTCTCTTACACTTTAAATCTTGAAAGAAATTATTTGTTTGTGCGTGTGAGCATGATTTAGTGTGGTGAATGTAAACTCAGCTGATTTCGAACAGGTAAGATCTATTCCAAAGAATTTAACATAATACAGGAAATGTGTGCAATAGAAGTAGACTTGTGCAGACATTCACTGACCCCATGACAGAAGTGTACCTGCTGTTTTTCCAAGCCACCGTACCAACTTTCACTTCTTTCAACTTGCTGCTTCAGAGAGAGCAGTCATCAATATTTTTGTTACATGATGAGGTGGGATTGGATTTTGCTGTTTTTTCCATTCTGTGTTTCTTGCTGATATCTGCAGGGATTCTCTAAAACAGGTTTCACCTACTATTTTTGTAAATGTCTGTTATAGATGGTGAAATTCGTACGCAAGCTATGTTCCAAGTTTATGGTTCCAGCAGCTCTGCAGTGCCATGAGGAGCCTTGTGAAATTGCCTTCAAAGAAAAGGCAAACCATTTACCAGGTTAGTATTTGACTATTATTATGATCAAACACTGTGATATGTGATATTTAGCCTTGTACCTTATACCGATATGCTGTATCTGTGACAGGAAGAAAGTTGAACATTAGGTTCACAACCAGGGCTAAACTTAACAGATTACTCGACGAGGGTGACATCACACCACAGCAGGTGGATTCATTCCATGAAGCTGTGTTGTGTTTCCTGACAAGTGCTGTGGACTATGCACTTAAGAAGCTGCCACTGGAAGAGCCACTGATCAAGCACGCACAATTTGTAGATGTACGGCAGAGGGCTGAAAGTGACATCGAAGATGTCCTGTACTTTGTTGATGGTTAGTTTTTTTTCTCTAATTATTGTCTGTTATCTTAGCTAAAATACCCTGTGTTTTATGATGAAGTGTGTTCACTCCTAAACTGCACATTAGATATTCTTATGTGGCTTCTCCTCAAAGATGTGTATGAACTGCTGCTGGTTGATGACTATATACCTAAAACGTAACAACTTGTAACTCTACTTTCATAAATAGGTTTCCCCATCTCCTCCCATACCATGGGCCAGAGGAGCATGACCTTCTGGGTGAGGAGTTTCTAAATGATCAGACCATGCCAATGATATCCCTGCAGGACGAAACTGAAATGGAAAGCTTCTGGGCTGAAATGGCAACCCGGAAGCATAAGGTAAACATTTTTAATTTTTTGTCTTTCCTTTTGGCAGGTGTGGCTTGGCTACATCTGTTGCTTAAAATTGTTGCATGCATATATGTGTCATGCATGTTGCAAATTATGCATGTTTTTATCTGAACTCTGTTAATGGATCAACCTACAGTATACTTACAGTATTAATCAATCAAAAATCAAGGTATGTTTTTCCATTGTGTTTTGGTGCATTTTCCATAGGTGACAGGAGCCAAAGAATTCGAGAGGCTTGCTGCCATCGCCAAGCTTGTCCTTGTGTTGCCCCATGCAAACGCAGATGCTGAGAGGGTGTTTTCAGTTGTGGGACTGAACAAAACAAGAGAAGAAACAGCCTAGCATTGGATGGCACCCTGTCCTCAATAATGACCATAAAGATGGCCAATCTGGAGCCCTGCTTCAAATGGGAGCCCCCCTCCGATATCATCAAGGCCTCCAAGAAGGCCACAGGCCAGTATAACCATGCCGACAGATCATAGACAAGAGGCTCATTTGAGATGAGCCAGGTCTGCGCAGAATCGATCACCGGCGATCACCGCCCAATGCATGCTGGTTAGATTTGTGTCCGACTTGATCCCGACATTCTCTGACGTCATGCACACGTGGGCAACGATAACCTCATGAGATCAAGGCGGCCGCAGCTCCTGAGTGGCGCAGTGGTCTAAGGTGCCGCATCGCAGTACTAACTGTGCCACTAGAGATCCTGGTTCGAATCCAGGCTCTGTCGCAGCCGGCCGCGACCCGGAGACTCATGGGCGGCGCACAATTGGCCCAGCGTCGTCCAGGGTAGGGGAGGGAATGGCCGGCAGGGATGTAGCTCAGTTGATAGAGCATGGCGTTTGCAATGCCAGGGTTGTGGGTTCGATTCCCACGGGGGGCCAGTATAAAAATATATATATATATGTATTCACTAACTGTAAGTCGCTCTGGATAAGAGCGTCTGCTAAATGACTAAAAATTTAAAAATTGAAAAATGTTCTGAGACGCAGGCAGTGCAATTGCTTTTTACCGACTGCAGGACCCAGGACAAAATCTCACTCCAAGGTTTTTTGAAAAGTTGGCAGGTATGCTACCAGCCAGCTCTAGCCTGGACTATTATCGGCCAGTCTGCACTGTCTGCACAGCGCGCTATCGACCAAGAACATATCGGATGTTCTGCCGGAATCATTGAATCACTGGACCTTAACACCGGATCATCGCAACTAGCTAGCTGCAACCGAATGGATGTTGTTGGCTAATCACCACCGCCCCCCTGAAGCAAGCACCAGTTAGCCTTGAGCTAGCCTCGAGCCAGGCCCATCTCCCGGCTATCTACCTCTCTGTCAACCGGACGGGACCTCCTAGTGTCGACACGGAGCCCCGCCGATCCATCACGACTGGTCTGCCGACGTAATCGTCTGATGTGGTTTCAACAGGCTTCCCGTTGCGACGACCACGAAGATCCATCTGCTAGCCCCAGCACGCTAGTAC